GGGTGTTATGTTTTTTTTTTTTTTTTTTTTTTTTTTTTTGTACTGGGGTTCAAATTTGGAACCTTGCACTAGCGAAGCAGGCGGCAGAACCACTGAGCTAAATCCCTGGCCCTGGGCTTGAACTTGTGATCCTCATTCCTCAGCCTCCCAGAGTGCTGGGATCACAGACCTGTGCCACCCACCCTATTCCTTATTCTCTTTTTGGTGTTAGTTCTAATCAGAGGAATAAGGGTTTGGTGATCATCTAAAATAACTCTTACTGCTTGGGACTATACCTCAGTGGCAGGGCTCTTGCCTTACAATGTATGAGGCCCCGGAATAGAACCTAGCACTTCAATAAAATAAAATAACCCTTTGTGTAAGCCAATTTTCAGTCAAAATGAAGCGCAGAAGTCTTGATGGAGTATGTAAATTTATAATCCAGGTGGGTGTGGTGGCAGCACAGGAAGCTGAGGGAGGAGGATTTCAAGTTTGATGTCAGCCTGAGCAGCATACCAAACTCAAGGCTATTGTAGGCAACACAGCAAGGCCTTGTCTCAAAAAACAAAAGCAGTTTAAAGTTATAATGTCTCAGAGCTGGGGAGTTGGCTCAGTGGTTCCACCACCTGCCTGGTAAGTGCAAGGGCCTGAGTTCCATCCCAGGTACCCTCCACCAAAGAAAGTTACAGTCTCTCTTGGTATCTCATTCCATCCATTTTTCGTAAATACAGTTAATCTCGGATTCAGAGGAGTGAATACAGGCATACCATGTGTCTCTAACTATCTTTACACAGGGGTCTAAAAACTTCCTGGATCCCAAATTCTTTATCATTGAAAAGTCCCAGGATCACAATGCAGTTAATGATAACACCTTTTTCTAGCTAAGAACTGTCTTTTCCTGCTGCTTACATTGTTACCTGAACTGAAAGATGACTTTCTCTGCAGATCATCTTTCAGAAGGAAATTGTTTAGTTTTGTATTTTTGAATTTTAACCAGGTTACAGATTTTTATACAGTAGGGATTTTTGGGTCTCTCCCAGATAGTTGAAACCATAATGTTAAATCCTTAGATGCGAAAGGCTTACATAGAATAGCATTTATTCTCTTTTAAAACGTCTGTTAGATCACATTCTGTAACAAAGTGAATAGAAAAGGGTTATGCTGGATGATGTGAATAGGAGGGTTTGTTTGTTTTGGTGCAGGAGATTGAACCCAGGACCTTGTCTGTGCTAAGCATACATTCTACAACTGAGCTGCATTCATAGTCTTGAATACTTTTTTATTTATAGAAGTGCATGTATGTACATATTATATACACATATACTTATACCCCTCTCTTTTCAGCTCCGTGTTTTCTACAGTGGACACTGATGAAATACCAGCTAAAAGACCAAGATTAGGTACTACCTATCAATTTTTAAAATTAGTTTGTTAAAAATATATGTGGAATGAAATTCAACAGGGAAAAAGTATATGGAGCAACAAGTCTCTCTTCTGTCTCTTCCTCCTCCATTGTTGTTCCCAGAAATAATCATGGTTACTAGGTATAAAAAGGCTTTGTATTGTGTGTGCATTTCAAAGTTCTAAATCCACTATAAAAAAAGATGCTTTTTCAATTTTGAGGAGGAAACATTGTAAAAACTGCTTCACACTGAGTGATGAATTTCAAATGGCTGAGTGAACCAATCTAATTTATCATCACGGACCTTTTACTTACCTATAACTGAAGAGTTGGAAGAGAATAAAACTAGATTAAAGGGAAAAGGCACTGTGGAATTCTGTATCTCTCTTTCAGCAGTGACTAGGAATTCATGTCTACTCCAGATGTGATAGTTGAGGGTGGACCTATGTTAATATTTCATTTAAATCCAGTGAGTACTTACCCAACATGTTTTGATGCTAAACAGTACGTTAGGTTCTGTAAGAAACACAGCAGTGGATAAAACAGGGTCTCATTATTTAAGGGCCTCTGTGATTGTGTGGTAACGAATATGAAATAAGCACTAAATAATGACACACGGAACCAAAAAAGGCAGAGTAGCAGGGTGATTTAAAACTGATTGAGGGTCTTAGTAAAAAAAAAATTTTTTTTAGGCAGGGTCTCACAGTGCAGTTCAGGCTGGCCTCAAACTCACGGCGATCCTCCAGTCCTCTCTCCTGCCTCAGCCTACCAAGTGCTAGGACTACAGGGATGTGCCACAACACCTGGCTGTTAAGATTTTTCTGACAGGCAAACTGTAAAAGAATCTAATAAGCCAAGATAGCAAATATAATACTTCTTAGTGAGTTTATAAAATTCCATAGCATGCTGACCAGTAGAATCTCCTGTGATGATGGCCATCAAGCATTTGAAATGTGGTTAATTTGATTTTTTTTTTTTTTTTTTTTTTTTTTGGTACTGGGGATCAAACTTGGGTCCTTGTGCTTGCAGAGCAGACAGTGGAACCACTGAGCTAAATCCCCGGCCCTGAAATTTTCATTTTAATTAATTGAATAAAATTAGTAGGTAACCACATACGGCTGCCTACTACTCTCTTGGGCAGTACGGCTCTTGGTTGCTTTTGAGAGGGAAAAAAACGCTAGATTAAAAGGAAAGAAAGGATTTCAGAGTGGCATACTCATGATTTTTACAGGTGAAAGGAATTTTAAGAGAGCAACGTAGTCTGGTCTCAGGAAAATAAGGTCATCCTTTCTCGTATAGTGAGGCAGGCCTGCCTTCTTCCCCCTTTAAAAAAATCAGCAAGATCTTTTGACATAATCTCAAGGCACACCCAGTTTTAAACAAAATTCATAGGGAAATAAAATATTACAATAGTTCTTGTGGTTCCTGTTTACCATGCCATCAGGAGCACCCTTACCCTCTATGCTGGATGGCGGCTGTGGTTTAGTCATCTGCCCCCATACTCTTCCTCACTTAGAAAGCAAGCAGAATAAAGTGACATCCCTCAACACTGCTACAGGGATAACTTGGAGATCTTTTTAATACTGAAAACAGAAAGCAATTTATCTACAGGCTTTGGTACTTTTAACTTATCAAGCAGCAAATTATTTCAAGCTGTATTCTGCTTTACCTGGCCCTCACATTGACCCATTTGCTTAAGATATTTGGGTATCTTTCTGAGAAGTATTTATTTTATATATTCTAGAGCTCTTACTGCTTAAAGCCAACATTTTGGGTAATGTTTCTGTGAAGCAATAACTAGTGCCTTAGAACACTGTTAATTATGACGTAGAAGATTACAAAAAAACATAGATGTGTGGGAAGTGAGAAAAAGGTAGTATTGTAAGAGGACAAATCCAGAGTTTACTGAAATGTACCCTTCCTCCCTGCTTGCTTGCTCGTTTTGTAATCTCTGTTCTTGGTGGCATGCAGAGGTAAGTCTGAGGTCTTCTAACATCCAGTCCCAGTAGAGGGCTGAGAGCTGTGTATATAGTTTATACTCCACCTAAATAGGATATAAAAGGGCTTAGTAAATAGTTGTTAAAGGCAACTCTGTTCTTACCTACCTGAGAAATAAGGACAAAGCAGCAAGTAAATGACGGAGCTTCCTTGCTTCTGTAATACCCACTGGTACATGTCCCTTGTTTAGTTATACCCTCTTCTCTGGTAAAAATGTGTTTTGTGTACTCTGGGACACTCACTGCTTAAGCACTGCCATTGCAACTCTTCTGATTCATTGCGAATCACTGTGTCATTGGCTAAGGTGACGGCTTCATGTTTTTGTAGCGTCTCAGATATTCATTAAAAAAACAAAAATCATAGGATTGGAATTCTAGTTATTCAGTTGTACAAAAATGTTTTTGTAGATTTTTTTAATTTCAGTGTTTGAAATAGGTCTTTTGTTGTTGTTGTTGTTCCAGGGATCGAACTCGGGTCCTTGTGCTTGTGAGGCAGGCACCGGAACCACTGAGCTAAACCCCTGGCCCTGAACTAGATCTTTTAATAAAAATTAAGGGAGGTTCTCTCCAAGATATAATCTGTCTTTTTTCCATGAGAAGTTGATTACTTATACTTTGTTGGTACTTTCTAGATTGCTTTATTCACCAAGTGAAAAACCATCTGTACAATGCTGCCAGCTTGTTCGGATTCTCATTCCAGCTGACCGCGAAGCCCATGGTGACTTCTGCTTGTAATGGGACACGGAATGTGGCCCCTTCGGGAGAGGTCAGTGGGGTGGGGCTCCACTGGGGTTACTGATGTTTTTGTTTTATTCGTTGCTGGAAATTGAACTCAGGACCTTGTGCGTACTCAGCAGGAGTTCTGTCACTGAATTACACCTCGCCCCAGAGGCTGCTGATGTTTGTACTTAATGATTAAAGTTAAATTTTAGAAATACTCTATTTGGGGGAATGAATGTATTAGAATGTATTCTTTCCAGAAATGTTTGTGTCTTTATTACTAAGGTCAACAAATTAAAGATTAAAATTTAAACATTCAAAAAGTATTTGTAAAGAATATTAACTGAGCATGGTGGTGTACACCTGTAATCCCAGCACTCAGGAGGCTGAGGCAGGAGAATCACTGTGAGTTTCAAACCAGCGTGGGCTACATAGCAAGTTCAAAGACAGCCGGAACTGCCTAGTGAAATGTTGTCTCAGAAAACAGAGACAAAAGCAAAAACAAAAGAGTATCATTGCTTCTGATTTTCTTAAGTATATTTGCAGATCCCGAAATTGTCATTTTTTATATATCATTTTATAAATCTTGGTAATCAGAAATAATTGCTAATAGGGATCTTTTTAAATGATAAACTTATTTCTTTTTCTTTTCTTTTTTTTTGAGACAGGGTCTCACTATGTAGTTGAGACTGACCTGGAACTCACTACGTAGCCCAGGCTGGTCTCAAACTCAACAGCAATCCTCCTGCCTCAGCCTCCGAGTGCTGGGATTACAGGAGTGTGCCACCATGCCTGGCTTGATAAACTTATTTCAATTGTAAAATTTAGATGTTACAGAGGTGATTCTGTTTGGTTTTAAGGTATTTTCGAACTCTTCATCTTGTGAACTGACAGGTTCTGGATCCAGGAACAACATGCTGAAACTGGGTGAGGTGATCAGAAATATTTGTGCTCCCTTGTATTCCCTTCTGCCCATTTTCCCCTGAGTTTTGAGAATGTGAAAGGAAATCTCTGAGTTAGGTTGGGATAAGAATAAAGATGTATTTTCTCTGCCATTCTGAGAAGCAGATATAGGTTGAGTAAGTATCATTATCTGAAGTGCTTGGGACCAGAAATATTTCAGGTTTTGGAGTTTTTAGATTTTGGAATATTTGCATGAATTTTACTACTGGTTGAAAAAATCCAAAATCTGAAAACTGCAGTCAGAAACTTTTTGAGCACCAATAATTAGAGATTTTCGGATGAGGATCTCAGCTTGGACCTTCCTTCAGAATTACTGTATGAATTTACTGTTGTGTTTTCTGTTTGCTTCTCAGCATCCTTTTTGTGACTCAGATCAAGCCTCAGTCATTAGAAAAATATTTCCCAAGAGTTTACTCTGTGCCAGGTGCTGTGCTAAGTTACTATCAGTTATTAATAACCAAATAATGAAACCTGTCCTTGCCTTTGGGGAGCTCATCATGGGCTTGGTGAGCAGTGTTAGGTTCCCATTTCCTGCTCTTGTATGGATTAAGGACTTTTCCATACTGTCATTAGATCCTGCAGTAAATTTGCAATTAGTTTTAGACCATACAGAATGATATGTTGGGGAAAAGTAGGGAGAAGCCAGAGTTCTGAGAAATGGCTGTGTGTCTGCTATATAGTGAGGCTTGTAGAGTTCTAGAGGAAGGCAAAGAAATTAGGAGAACTTAGCTGTGTACTATCTTTCTCTTGCTAAGACAAAATACCTGTCACCCACAGTTTAAGGAGGTGAGGTTTATTTTGGCTCACAATTTCAGAGGGTACAGTCCATGGTTGGCTGGCTGTGAGACAGAAATGGCATGACAGAAGGGCCTGGTGGAAGAAAGCTGCCCAACTCAGCAGGCAAGAAGCAGAGAAAGATAAGAACCAGAGCCAGAAATGTACCCTTCAAAGACTTCCCCCATGAACCACCTCCTCCAGCTGGGCCCCACTGCATAGCACATTCAGCTGTGATGTCATCAGTTTATTAATCCACCGATCGGCACACACCCCTGTGATCCAACCACCTTCTAGATGCTCACCTCTGAGCACAGGAAACTTTTGGGGAACATGTTACATCTGAACCATAACATGATATTAGAAAAGTTGTGGGCTCAAAAGTCAAAAGTGGGGCCGGGGATTTAGCTCAGTGGTTCCGCCGCCTGCCTTGCAAGCACAAGATCCTGAGTTCAATCCCCAGTACCAAAAAAAAAAAATCAAAAGTGTAAGAAGCTAAGAAAATGATGTATAGTATTACGCTTCTCAGATTCTGTTGGTAAAGTATCTCTGGTGTAGACTCTGGTGTAGAGAAGACCAAGGATAGTAAACACATACCCCTGTCCAAGGAGCTAGTTCTAAAGGATTTGAAACAAAGATGTTATTTGAATTCTTTTACAATAGACCCTTTGCTTATGAACTCAATTCATTTGCAAGGGCTGGTTGTAAGTCAAGGTGGTCAATGGAAGGCTCAGGCTCCTCTGCACAGCCTTCGAAGTCTCTCTCCTACCCACAGGCAGATCTCTGTGTCCTTAGAGAGACACTGGCCCAGGATTTCTCAATTCACCCCCGCAGGAAAGGATGCTGCCATGTTTCTTCCAGGATTTAACTCTTAAGGGTTAAATCTGTATCTGAGACCATCTGGAAGCACAAGCGGCCAGCATTTGGGTCATAAGTTGTAATTTAGATCTAAAATTCTGGTTGTAACCCAAGTTGTTTGTACATCAGGCCAATTGTAACTCGAGGGTCCACTGTATTTCATTAAAAAAGTTGATTCAAGTTGTATTTGATCTCTTCATATTGTTTGAATATTAATGTATTGTTGTTATTATTGTTTGTTATGGTGCTAGGAATCAAACCCAGGGTCTCATGCACGCCAAGCAAGGGCTCTGCTGCATTCCTGGCCCTTGTTAGTGCTTCCCATTAACATTTTACAGCATGTATGCTGAATTCCTGTACTCTCTAGTCATAGAATTAAAAAAAATAAGATGCTTAGTTCTGTATCATAAACTGCTCACAGATTTTTTGTCCTTATGCAGACTGTTCACAAAGGTGTGTGTCTGTCTTTCTTTTTTTCTTCCTTCCTTTCACAATTGCAAATACATTCTTAAGGTAATAAATCTCCTAATGGAATAAGCGATTATCCAAAGATCAGAGTGATGGTAACGCGAGATCAGCCACGGAGAGTCCTGCCTTCCTTTGGGTAAGTGTCAGATTCTGCCTTCCTATAAGTGGACATCAGCACTTCTCAGATGCTTGTTCCTTCACACATTCTCACATTTCTTCTGCTATGGACTCTGAGGTTTGTGACTCACCCAGTTCACACAGCTAGTTAGAAATGAGTTTTTGTTTTTGTTTTTTCCTGAGACGGGCTCACTATGTAGCCCAGGCTGGCTGGGAACTTTTGGCGATCCTTCTGCCTCAGCCTCCCATGTGCTAGGACTACAGGTGTGCACCACTGTGCCCGGTAGTTGAACATTTTCTTCTGTATGATATGCCCGTCGCCTGAACTGATTTGAAAACCTTTTATAAGAATTTACTTTCTTAAGTTTTTAAAAATATAACATGCATACAGGTAAGTATAGAAATCATAAGTGTAATGTGATAAATTTTTATATGTCAATACCCATACCCATCGGTTTTTTAGTTTTTTCTTTTTTCAGTGGTGGGGATTGAGCCCCTGGCCTTAGTATTGAGGTATAACCTCAGACTTTTTTCTCTTTTGATAGTCTCATTGCTACCTCAGCTTCCCAGATTGCTGGGATTACAGGCATACGCACCTCACTTGGCTTATTATTTTATTACTAATTTTTCCCTCCTCTTTCTTTTTTTTGGAGGGGTACCGGGGATCAAACCTGGGTCCTTGCGCTTGCGAGGCAGGCGGCGGCACCACTGAGCTCAGTCCCCGGCCCTCCCTGCTCTTTCTGTGCTCTCATTTCTGGTGTCCTGTTGTTTACATGTTAGGCTTTCTGAATTGATCTGATTTTCCTGTCTATTCCTTTTGTTTGCTAGTATGTAACAGTTGTACATGTGAGCAAGTTTCATTTTAGTAGATCTGTACGTGGATGTAGCACACTTTGGTTGTTTCCACCTCCTCTTACCACTTGCCCTTCCACTCCCCCTCCTCCTGTTCGCTTCCTCTTCCCTAGCAGTCTCCCTCCTACTGTTAATTCATCTGTCTCTGTTCCTTGGTGTTTTGAGACAGGGTCTTGTGATGTAGTCCAGGCTGGCCTTGAGCGCTTGATCCTGCCGAGTGCTGGGGTTGCAGTAGAACTGTGCCGTCACACTGAGCTTTCTCTGTTTCTGTAGGTTTTGTTTTATGTTTTTGTCTTTTTGTAGATTCCGCATATGAGAGAGAATATGTAATTGTCTGACTTACTTCCCTTAACATCTCAGTCTCCGGTTCCATCCATTTTCCTGCAGATGACTTGATTTCACCTCGTGACTAATGATACTCCATTGTGTACAGCACATTTTCTGTATCCATCATCTGTGGTTGGGAACCCAGGCTGGCTCCATAGCTTAGCTCTTGTGAGTCGGGCTGCAGTAAAGATGGGTGTGCAAGTATCTCGGTACCATGCAGATTTGAATTCTGTCAGAAACATACGGAGGAGTGGTAGAGCTGGGTCAAACCGTAGGTCTATTTCTAGTTTTTTGAGGATCCTCCATACTGATTTCCATGGTGACTGTACTGATTGACATTACCACCAGTAGTGTATAAGGATTTCTTTTTCCCTGTGTCCTTGCCAAAATTCACTGAGCCACATTCCTAGCCCTTTTTATTTAATTTTTTTCTTTTGAGACAGAGTCTCACTAATTACCCAGGGTAGCCTTTAATTTGAGGTCCTCCTGCCTCAGTCTCCTGAGTAGTTAGGAGTACAGGCCTGAGCCTCTGTGCCTAGCTGACCTGTGATCAGTTAGAAGGCTCGAAGTATGTTGTTTAATTTCTAACTGTTTGGAACATTCCATCTGTTACTGATTTCTGATTTAATTTTTTATTATCAGAGAATATACTTTGTATGATTTTTGGACCTAGAATATGGCCTCTTTGGATAATTTTCCATGCATCCTTAAAAAGCACACATTTTGCTGTCAGAGTACTCTGTAAATATCAGGTCAAGTTAGTTTAAATGTTTACAGGTTCTACTCATTTTCTGTCTGCTTTTTTTATTGATTGGCCAGCAAGTGTTGAAGTTTCTACAAAATTTAGTTTAATCTATTTCTCCTAAATATATTGTCACCTTTTTACTCTTTTTCTGGTGGTTTGGTTTGGGTTTGGTTGGTTTGGTTTGGTTTGGTTTTGTGATGCTGGGGATTGACCCAAGGGCCTTTGCACTGAGCTACATCCCCAACCTACTTTTTTGTTTTTATTTACGAGACAGGGTCTTTCTAAGTCAAACTTGCCCAGACTGGTCTCGAATTTGCAATCTTCCTTCGTTGGCCTCCCAGAGTGCTGGCATTACCAAACATGTATCATCACGCCCAGCTTTTTTTTCTTTCCATGTATTTTGAAGCTCTGTTAGGTAGATCCAGTTTAGTTTTGTTTGGTTTGGTCTTGCTATGTAGTTCAGCCTGGACTACTCACTATGTAACTCAGATTGGCCTTGAACTTGTGGTGATCCCCCTGCCTCAGCCTCCTGAGTGCTGGGATTATAGGGCTGCACTACCATGCCTGGCTTTTGACCCAGTTTTACCAGTGTTATTTTTATACTTTTTTGTACAGTTACATTCATTTTTGGGATCATGTACCTTTACATGGCAAGTCTTGATTCTCATTTTTTTCCCCTTGCCTCTGCCCTCCCTTCACCCCCTCCTCCCCTCCCCATCTACAAACACTTTATTTTCATCTTTTCATTCTCTCACATTTTTTTCTTTTCTCTTTTTGTTCTTCCCCTACGTATCACACCTGTTATACTTATTTTTATCGTTCTTTGTCTTGTATACATAATTTTTTTCTGAATAACTTGAGAATATGTCTTTGACTCTTACCCCTTTAATTCTAAATATTTGAGCCTATTTTGTAAGAACTGATTTACTTCCGGGCATGGTGGCACATGTCTGTAATCCCAGTTACTTGGGAAGGTGATTCAGGGGGATCATAAATTTAATCCCAGCTGGGTGACTTGACAAGTCCCTGTCTCAAAATTGAAAAATATTAACAAAGGGCTGGAGATGTAACTCATTAGTAGACCACTTGTCTTGCAGGTGCAAAGCCCTGGGTTCAATCCCCACCCAACCCCTAACAGAAAAGAAAAGAATCGATTTACATAATCTTAGAAAAATCAGAAAGTCAGTATCGCATCCTTATGTGATCTACAGGTCTCGTTTAAATTTTTCTATTCTAGCTTTTCTTCCTACTCTGGACCAGGTTCTGGAGCAAATTACATACTGCATTTAGTTTTCCCATCTTTTGGCTCTGCTTTCTTTCTGAAACACCTCCTTGGTCTTTCTTTGTCATTGAAGACACTGATGTTTTATTTTTGCCTGATGTTTACTCAGGATCTGCCTCCTGTTTTTTGGTATTTTTGTGGAAATACTACCTGATGGTGGTGCCCTTTTCAGAGTGTCCCGTGAGTCCGGGTGTGATGCATCTGTTCTGCTGTTGGTCGGGCAGGAGAAGAGAGACAGATTCTATCATCAGTTTCAGTGCCTGGGCACTAGGGAGTGGGGAAGTTCATTGGTTTGGTTCTCGAGCATTTATTAATTTTACCAGTTTGTTTGTTTGGTTTTTAGAGACAGGATCTCACTACGTAGTTGAGACTGACCTAGAACTCACTATGTAGCTCAGGCTGGTCTCGAACTCACAGCAATCCTCCTGCCTCAGCCTCCCGAGTGCTGGGATTACAGGCGTGCGCCACCACACCCAGCACCTGTTTATTTTTTAATATACAGGATAAATGTATCAGTTCAGGGCTGGTCAGTCTTTATACCTCTTTAATACTACTTTTTTTTTTTTTAAGACAAAGTCTCATTATATAGTTCAGGCTGGCCTTGAACTTGGCAGCAGTCCTCCTGCCTCAGCCTCTGAGTGCTGAAATTACAAGTGCGCATCACCACATTTTTTTTAAAAAACCATTGTAGGAATTAAATCCTAGGGCTTCACACATGATAAGCACACAGTTCTACCACTGAGCTACCCCACCTCTTCCTTTTTTTTCTTTTTCTTTTTCCTCTTTAGACAGGGTCTCAACTAAGTTACACCGGTTGGCTTTGAACTCCTAGACTCGATATCCTCCTGCCTAAGCCTCCTGAGTAGCTAGGACTGCAGGCACACACCCCTGTGCCCAGCATAGCATTTATTAATTTAGCATTGAGTAGAGTCATTCTCAGTATAGATCCTGTCCCAAGGTAGAGTGATGAAAGGTGTGACCTCTCTTTTCATAGATTTTTAAGTTCAGTGTGGGATATAGATGTAAACAGATAATCTCACCAGTAACTAATCCCCGTGTTGCCCCGTGACATAAGAAATAGTCCCGGCGGGTGATGTGTAATAAGCAGCTGGACCCGGGGCTGGTGCCGGAAGAGGGCTTTGGTGTGACTGCACGTGGGTGAGCTGCAGTGGGTTGCTGGGGAGACCTCACTGCGGCAGACAGCAGTCGTGTGACACGCAGCAAGTGCAGTCAGGACAGCACAGTCCCGGGGTGATGAGGAGCTTAAGGGTCAGTGCTTTGAGTGCTTTGACGGCACGATCTTTTCCTTTTTTCCTCAGTTTCTCTTTGAACTCCGAAGGCTACAATAGAAGACCGAGTGGCCGTCGCCATAGCAAAGGCACTGCGGAGAGTTCCTCCTTGTGGAGACCTCAGGAGCAGGCTGTCACCGAGATGGTTTCTGAAGAGGGCGGCAAGGGGCTGAGGCGTCCCCACTGTACCGTGGAGGAAGTAAGTCTTTTTAGGTTGATTTCTGTAAAAAAAGGTCTATATGACTTTTTTGGGGAATGAATAATACGTGAGCATGGCACAAGATCCAGAAGGTACAAAGCGTGTGCTCTGACTGCGTTTCCGGTGTCCCTTGCACACCTGGCCTCTGTGGGTGCTTTGCCTCGGCGTGTAGCCCGGTTAACTGCACATGCCCTCCTGGAGACAGTCTGCACACTGACACGACTCAGTTCTCACACGTAGTGATTTTCTCTGTAAAGGAGGAGGAAGACTCCTGTTAGGAAGAAAAGAGGTTAGAGATTCTTTTTGGATACCTGGGGTATTCTAACTTGTTTCTTTTTTAAATGTTAATAGCAGTGACTCAGTAGGGGAAGTAGATGGTGTATGTCTTTGCTTTTTCCTTCCCCTTTCAGAGCATCTACTGTGATGGAGAGACAATGTTCACTTCTCTCTTGAGGTCTTTAGTTATTCCAGGAAAATTTAGAATTATTTTGAATCTGATATTCCACAGGACCATCAACTATTTTAATTTGCCAGGTGGTTTTCTGAGATACTTGTGTAGTTATCACAGAACTATGTATTTGGGTTCCAGGTTCTGTGCTAGTTGCCCGCCCTCTTTGACATAAATAATTACAATTAGTTTTGACATAAATAATTACAATTCAGCAAACAGATAGAGAGAGGAAAGGCCCAGCGCCCTGGAAAAGATCTGTAAGAGGAGGTATTAAAGATAAGGATGGCAGGGGTTAGGTGAGGAGTCAGAGAAGGAACCAAGCGAGTGTCTTTGGGCTGTGCTCAGAGGACACATCCCAGAGAGGATTTGACTGAGTGTGATGTAGAGGGAAGAGACTGAGTCCCAGATTTCAGGCTCGGTTAAGTACACGTCACTGACCAAGATCCCCTGCCCTATATGTCTAGGGGGAAGATGATGACTTCAGTTTTGGACATTGTTTAAAGTACCTGTGAGACACGCAAGAAGACTCATCCTGTAGACTCTTGGACATAGGTGATGGGAGATTTGAGAAAAAGGCAGGGTTGGAGACACATTTCTGAAGTTTTTGTGCATCAATGTTTAAATCAAGGCAGCTAATGAGATTTTTCAGGGAAAGAATGTAGCGTGAAAAGAGATTTGGACAAAACAATCAGAATTTATGGCAGACAGAAGAAGGAATAATCTGCAGTGAAGACTGAGAAGAAAATAGAAGTTTGTTGTGCAGGAAGATGAGGCAAAGTTGGAAGGGAGCTCATGTACTCTGACGGCTAGGAAAGTGCCCTCTGACATGGCTGTCGAAGGTCACTGCTGATTATGCAAGTGGAGTATTTCTGCTCTTTTTCTGTGTGTAGTTTATCCAATTTTGTTCATCCTAGTTTTGTCGGAAATTCAGGTGCCATCAGGATCTAGCAGAGAGAGTAAGATGAGTGAAGAGGGGTGGAGAGCACATGGTCCTGCCAGCTCGACTGCTGATTCACTTTTCAAAAGGGGACAGAATTTGGGGTTTTGGTTTTTGTTTCATAATTTATAAAGTGGGAAGTTAATTCAAAGAAACTGTAAAAACACCATGCTGGCCCTTGAAACCCACCTGTAGATTGCATTTGACCTGTTAATCTCTGACTGTGATTTAATTTTAGGTTTAATGTGCTAGTATTTACCTAACGTGCTTTCTTTTACTCAGGGCGTTCAAAAAGAAGAACGAGAGAGGTACCAGAGGTTATTAGAGCGACTTAAAGAAGGTGGTCACGGAAGCTCTGTCCCTCCTGTGACTTCACACCATCACAGGTAAAAATGAGCTCATAAGAGAACTGCTTTGTTCGGTATGTTTCTCTTTAGTTTTGGACGGGTTGGTAAGAAGGGCCTGTTGGAGAGAAGGCTGTCACAGAGCAGACGTGGTGGTGCATACCTGGAATCTAGCACCCGGAAGACTGGGGCAGGAATACAGCAATTTAGTGACTTACAGAGACCTAGTCTCAAAGTGAAAAAGAGGCTGGGAATGTAGTTCACTGTAGTGGCCTTGGGTTCAGCCTGCAGCACCGCAAACGAAAAGGAAAAAAAGGTGACACTGAGAGGCAGCCTGCAGCTTGCCTGGACAGTGCATCTAGTTATGCACTGCGTAGGGCTGGGGCTGCACAGGGTGGTGTTTCTCTGTTTTGAGGTAATAGTGCTCAGCTGTCAAGGCTGGCCTTGAACTCACGATCCTCGCCTTGGCCTCCCAAGTAGCCGGGGTTCCTGGCATGTGCCACCGGGCCTGGCTCCAAAATGGGTTTTTCTGTCCACGTGAGCTCTGAATGAAATTCCCATCCAGAAAAGTGATCACTAGTTAGAGCACACATTTTCCACCCACCACCCCCGTCTCTCTTTCTCTTTCTTCTGTTTCCTCTCTCCTGCCTGTCTACATTTCTTTCCCCTCCCTCCCCCCTTTCTTTCTTTTTTTCTTTCTTTTTCTTTCTCCTTCCTCCCTTCCTCCCTCTCTCCACCTCCCCCACTTTCTTTCTTTCTCCTTCACCTCCTTGCAACCTGTTTGTTTGTTTTTTTTCTTGTCTTCTCCCTGACCCTGCACCCAGTGCCCCCTTTAAAGACATTAGTAAGCCCGGGATTTAGCTGAGTGGTTCCACTACCTGCCTCTCAAGCGCAAGGTCCTGAGTTCGATCCCTGATACCAAAAAAATAAATAAAGACGTTAGTGATTACCTCTCCACGCTCTTGGAAACCCTCTCAAGAGTCCTACTGCTTGTTAATTACTGATGATTTTTGCAGCTAGATGAAAGTGGTAGGTGTGAGGACATTGGGCTTTACCTTTGCCTATGGAAAGGGAGCGAGTGTGAGCTCAGGATCCAGGTATACTTGGTAATACTAACAAGTGATCTGCAATGCACAGACCCCACCAGTTATGAAATAGCGAGGTGAAGGTGAACAGTCACAGACTCTGTAGCTTATTGAATACAGAAAAAACAAATGTTTGGGCATTTTAATTTTGGTTGTGTGTGCTAATGGACTAGAGTTTGTCATGTCAAAAATCTTTAAATTGTTTTGCTTCTTTATATTCCTGCTTTTAAAGCATTGCTTATAGAATCCATTTAAACACAACAGTTTTAAATTGTTTGTTTCCTTATTTATGGTGCAGGAGATGAAACCTAGGCCTTGCACATTCTATGCCGTATGCCCCAACCCTTTTCACCTTTGAATTTGAGTTTTATCACTGAAATTTTTTAGTCAGGGTGCCATCGGGGATAGAGAAGTTCCAGTTTTAAAATATTTGAGGTTAGGTGACTGGACTGAACAGTGGAATCCAAGTTAGACTCCGTGTTGCGCCCTCTCTGTTGAAGTTCGATGTTACAGAGCTTGTCAGACGTAGCCCATGAACACTCATAGTAGACTTTCCTCTTATATTTGACTTTCTTGTTTTTTGTGTTTCGAAGCTCTCAAAGAAGTCACGTGGACACGTTAAAGACCAAAGGCTGGGGGGAAGAGCAGAATCACGGAGTCAGAGCGACTCAGTTTGTCCCAAAACAGTGTGAGTCTCCAAGCTTAGCCCTCTCTGATCTGCTGGCTTTAGTTGTTGTTAGAATACACCTGTGCCAGATGATGCTCGAGGTGTGAACGAAAAATACAGCGAATCCTGCCACAGGCCACCCAGTAGAAAGCAGGGGTCTTGCGGCTGCGACGTGGCACCTCAGACCCAAGTAATGGTTGCAGCTTGTTCGGTGCAGTCGGTGGCTGTGAGCCATGGTTGAGAGAAGCTATGTTTTACACTGTGCTGTAAATCACGCATCACAGACAACATGCTTCATTCGTTGATGCTGCACAGTCTTGCCACAGCAGATTCTAGCTGTCTAAGAAATGTCATCACAGAGATGAAACTTGGGTCTATGGTTGTGATCATGAGTCCAAGATTCAAATCACAGCCAGGCATGCTGGTGTACACCTGTAATCCCAGCACTCAGGAGGCTGAGGCAGGAGGATTATTGTGAGTTCGAGGCCAGCCTCAACTACACAGTGAGACTGTGTCTCAAAAAATAAAAAAAATAAAAAAGGAACCTGAAAAAAATAAGTGGAAATCACCCAGTTCTCCTCATGCAAAAAAGTCCATCAATCAAGATCCAGTATCAAGGTGATGTTATGTTGATTGTGTTTTGACCTTGATAAAAAGCTGTGAGCTGAGTTTAGACCCAGGAATGCTACCATGAACTCTGAAAATTATAAGGGATTTTTTTTTTTTTTTTTTTTGGTACCGAGGGTTGAACTCAGGTCCTTGGATTTGCTAGGCAGGCAGTGGAACCAGTGAGCTAAATCCCCAGCCCTAAGAGCTTATTATTTAAGAAACGATGTCACTTAGGAGGCTGAGGCAGGAGGAGCACAAGTTTGAGGCTAGCATGGGCTACATAGTGAGTTCCTAGACAGTTCTGGGCCACCTGGAATACCTAGTGAAACCCTGCCTCAAAAAAGCAAGCCAAGGGCCGGGGATTTGGCTCAGTGATTCTGGCACCTGTCTCGAAAGTACAAGAACCCGAGTTTGATCCCCGGTACCAAAAAAAAAAAAAAAAAAAGCAAGCCAAAAAGAAAGAAAAGAAATGATGTGCACAGTGAATAAGCAAAGAGTTTCTTTCTCCACCGTAACAACACTCCAAGTCACACATCACTTCCGGTCCAGCAGTTTCTGCCAAGTGAAAACAGGACGCTGTGTCCTCGTCCACCTTGTTCACCTGCTCTGGCACCATGCTAACTTCTGGCCTTCTCCAAAGTCAGGATGGCTGTGAAAGATAAATGTGGAAGGTGAATCGATTTAGGACACAGGCAGCCACAGTAGTACAACTGAAGAGGCAAAGAAGGACTTCCAGAACTGCTTCACAAAGGGGCAAGAATGATAAGTATACTGAAAGCCAGGGGTGGTATTTTGAGGGAGATTAATGACAGTGTTTCTTTTACTATTTAAAAAAGAAAAACTGGACATTTGCTGTATTTTTTGCTCATACCTCACACAAGTGAAAGATGGTGTACCAAGCCCTAAGAAACTCAGATCTCAACACATTGACTGGCACCTGTCCATCCCTGGGAGTTCCACTTTAAAACTGTTTAAAGATAGTTCATAACGCGCCTCTTGGTGATTATTTCTAGGCTTCTACTGTATGGAGTAGTGTGTTTCGTGCACCTGAAATTCGCTTATGTTCCTTCAGTTGTCTTCCTCGTTTTTCTCTACTAACCGCCGCTGAATGACACTAAATAGTCGCTTACCAAATGAACTGGTACTAGGTTTTGCTGAAGATTATATTTAACATACAAAGAGATTTGTGCATTTTAAGTTTGGTAAGGAAGTTCATATCTTTGGGCTTCATGTCAGCATTTTGGTGTAAATCATTGTCTATTTTGAAAACTGTCGGTCAGCATTGCAGCTTGTAATTGATTAGTAAACAGCTTTTTTTTTTTTTGCCATCCTCACAGATAGAGCTTTTGAAAACAGGGGACCTCTCTGTCCAGTGAGAAGTGAAAAAAGGTATGTGGTTCGGTTCATCCTGTGCTTTTGTGTAGTATATGTACATTTTCTTGCTGTTTAAGTTACAGTTGTGAGGTCTGAGGACCTGGGAGCTCTCTCCAGCCCTGGTGCCGCTCAGCACATGCCAGTGCACAGCCGCTCCTGACTGGGGACCTGCCCTTGCTTGGGCAGCCCACACTCACCTCTTGACGTCAGGGCTCAGAGAAGTCTATGGGGGCCGCCCCGGGGATCACTGTGTCTGGTACAGGAACAGCGCAGGAGCTCTGCATGCGTTAGGTTGTCACGGCACAGAGGCCAAATCCAGTCCGCCTGTTTATTGGAACACAGTTGTGCTCCTTCATTTACACATTGTCTGTCTGTGACCGCCTTTAATGTTCATGATGGCCCCAGATTCATATGTCTCACTGCCCGGCAGCTCCGATTTTACTAGTACAAAGACTGATGGACTGGTTCGCTCTGTTTGCACTGCCAGAGGCACAAGCCACCCAGTGGGACAGTTGTGCATGGGCCATGGTGGTGCGAGCCAGTGGCAATGTGGCGCACCGCAGTGGTGGGGCAGAGAGGTTTGGACTACAGCTAAGTTTCACTGTCTTCTGCCCTTTAGAAAGATGTGCTGACCACTGGTTTTGAGAATTATATAAATTCAAGGCTTTTTTTGTTTAGAAATTTATCTTATTTCTAAAGCTAGTCAAATATAAGATTAAAATCATCGTCCAGCAGAAGTCTTTGCTTTCTTAATATTTTTATTAGGTGTTCAAAGGGGAAAATTTCTGATATGGAAAAGATGATTGGAATCCGACTGGAAAATGAAGGTGTAAGTAGAAACTAGTTAAATTTTATAGCTACTCTCTTACCAGATACATTTTAGTGTGCATGAAAAATAAGAAGACATGATACACATTACTTGGATTTCTAATTCCATTATTTTCTTTGCAAAAGCAGCAAGCTTCAAAGATGTGCACATTTTGTTTCCCTTCTATGAAGATGAGATTCCTGTCTCCAGGAGCCACCTGTAACAACATTCATATCGGTTGGGTGACTTCCTTTGGAAAAGTGTTCAAAAATCATTTCTAGGAAAGATACGATATGCTTTTTTTTGTTTGTTTGTTTTTTTGGTACCGGGGATTGAACTCAGCTCTTTGAGCTTGCAAGGCAGGCCACCAAACCACTGAGCTAAATCCCCAGCCCTACTTTATTTATGCTTTTTGTTTTGTTTTGTTTTTTTGCGAAAGATATGATATGTTCAGGACTTTGTTTTCAGAGTTTCACATTTTAGGTTTCATAACTTGAAAACAGTGGGGGGGGGCGGGGTTCTGGTGCCTGCCTTTCAAGCGCAGGGCCCAAGTTCGATCCCCAGTACCAAAAATACCCCAAAACACTAGCAATCTAATGCTTTATAGGACTTTACATTAAGTAATAAAGTAAGTGTCCAGTGATCTCCATAGCAGTACTAACAGTTTTAATAATGGCAACGTGTTTGGGCAAACATTCAGTATCTGGAATTGAAAGTACGGTCCTACATTAAATGCAACTTAAAGTTACAGATTATTCATATTTTAGGTACATAGAATTACAGAAGTATAGGGGATCTGCTTTAAGTCTGGTTAAATTTGTGTTTTCTGATTGTACTTCTTAAGAGTTAGTCTTCAAGCCAGCATGTTGGTGCACACTTGTCGTCTTGTTTGGGAGGCTGAGGCAGGAAGATTGCAAGTTCAAAGCCAGCCTGTACACTTAGCAAGACTGTCTTTTTTTTTTTTTTTTTTTTTTTTTTTTATTCCGGGGATTGAACTCAGGTCCTTGCGCTAGGCTACCGAACCACTGAGCTAAATCCCCGGCCCAGACCCTATCTTAAAATAAAAATGGGCTGGAAATATAGCTCAGTGTCAGAGTGCTTGCCTAGCATGCTCAAGGCCCTCAGTGCAGTCTTCAGTACTGAAAGCAAAAAGAAGAGCCTTCCAAAGCCTGAGTCAAGCCTTGAGTCCTAAGTTTTAGAGCTTTTTTCTAATGGTCCCCACTCCATTGGTTCAGAGTTGGGGTCAGTTAATACTAATGATTATTTGTCATGTGTAGAGCACAAACTAAAATGAAGCACCTGTAATCCCAGCAACTTAGGAGACTGACACAGAATCACTTGAGCCCAGAATTTTGAGACCAGCTTGGAATCTCTTTAAAAATAAACTAAAAGGAGGGGATCTAAAGCTGAGAGAGAACAGACAGCACGGGAGTATTTTAAAACCCCACTCAGGGACGCACCCTGCCCCCTGCTTACTGAACCTAAGGAAGGCCCTGGCACTGGCTGGAATGAAGGGTGCGGTGCACTGTCTTCCAACTACTGTGATTCAAGTCCACAACTCTTACTTCTAAACACATTTCTCTATTTTAATTTTTTAATCTTTGTCAATGCTAGGGTTGAACCTAGGGTCTCACTCATGCTAGGCAAGCACCCGACCAGAGCTACACCCCAGCCCTGAATTTCCTAATTTCAAAATAGTTTTCCTGGTAGATGACATAAATCTAGTATTAACAGTTCTGTGGGCTCTGGGAGGGGAGGGACTTAGCAGAGTTTCTGGAGTGTGCGGGATTCTTTTCATTGAACTGAGTAGTAATCACATAGGTGTTCATTTTCCAAAAAGTGAGGGGTAAATGAATGTTGAAGTTGTTGTTTTTGTTTTTATTTTTATTTTATTTATTTATTTATTTATTTTTTGAGACAGGGTCTCACTATGTAGTTGAGACTGCCCTGGAACTCACTATGTAGCCCAGGCTGGCCTCAAACTCACAGCGATCCTCCTGCCTCAGCCTCCCAAGGGCTGGGATTATAGCAATGTACCACCATGCTTGGCCTACTACATTCATGTTTTGAGTACCCCCTTATGTTTTCCCATTTATTGTGTAGGATACTAGAAAGTATACAAATGAATAGCCAGGTGGAAGGGAGATTCAGAGAGCCAGGATGGGAGATGTGGCCAGGAGTGTCCCTGTCCTCTTAAGGGCAGCTGCCCTTGGGTGATTCCGCTTGTGGAGCAGTCTGAAAGCTCCCAACCCGTGGGCTTCTGTGGAGGCCTTGTCATACAGGCGTGATTAAATTAAGAAGACGAAATAGAGTGCATTCATTCAGTGTCAGGGTAGCCATAGTTCAGCCTCAGTGATGGAGGCTATAGGTCATAGTTTGTGCTGTGTAAACATTTCAGAATGTCTTTTAACCACGTTAATTTTAAATGGGATAGAACTGAAAATAACTTTTCTTGCCATTTCCAGAAAAAGTGGTGAGTGTTCTGTTCCATTTTTTGTGTTTTGAGATGGAGTCTTGCTATGTAGTTAGAGGTGGCCATGAACTCACTATCGCTCAGACTAGGATTTGCTGTGTTCCCACACCCGGCCTTTTTCGTGCTTTGTAATTGAGGTACCCGGGGAGGCCTAGCTCCTCATAGGTTTTTTAGTCTTCCTTGCTAGGCCAAGCAGATTTGCTAAATCCTTACTTGTCTGGAAGATTTGCTAATTGTCTTTCCTTTCAAGATTCTGACACTGTCTTCTAGCTCATGTGTGATGTGTGTGATATGTGCGAGTATCAAACATGGCAATAGAACGTAGAAACTTTTTGCTCAGAGGAGGGGACACCAGCTGGAGCCTGATCTGTCGGAAGAAGTGTCAGCCCGACTCCGCCTGGGCAGCGGAAGCAATGGCTTTCTCAGAAGGAAAATGTCGATACTTGAGGCAAAGGAAAAGAATTTCTCAGGCAAAGAGAGGGACAGAAGAACAGATGATCTCCTTGAACTGACAGAGGTACTGTTCCTTGTGTTGGTCAGAATAAAAGCATGTTGTTAAATAACTTTATTTACTCTAAGCTTGTCCAGAGACACAAATGTGCAAAACTCAGGCCCCAGGTCTGCTCGCTTTGGCTACCTCGATCGCGGTGATCTGCGAAGGTACCTAACAGAGGGAATTATAATGGATTCTCTGTCGACTCCTTTTCTACATTTTGGACATGTTGAGTTACATAGTATGGTATTGAGAATAAGTACATTGCAAGTGTTTTTAAAACACGGAAGTGAAAGTAGCTAAAATCCTTATTTAAAGGTGGCCCTACTCCCTGTCCCTCCCCCTGTAGACTTGGTATGTGGTGTCCTATTTGCTGTGTCTCTTTTGAGTACTTCCTGTGTTGGGCACAGAGGCGCGGAGAAAGTCACAGAGTAGCGATTGTATGTGTTGGAGAGAAGCACTGTAAAAACATGCAGATGAGAATCATTTTGATTGGGCTTACAGATTCAGTTTTGTAGCTTAGATATGCATTTATCTGCACACTTCTTTAGAATAGAGAAGCCAGCTATTCAACAGAGAGGTCGCCCATTAGTAGGATTGCTTTGTTAAGTTGGAACAATTTTATGCAATTTGATAAGTCTCAGAAATATATTTTTCTCAGAGTCAAGATCCTGTTGACACGAACGGCTTTCTTCTGTCTTACACACATGGATAGTGGTTCTGTGTTAAAGTGGTGACCTCTGGGCTTTCTCATTCAGGACATGGAGAGAGAAATCAGTAACGCCCTGGGCCATGGCCCTCAGGATGAGATCCTGAGTAGTGCTTTCAAGCTGCGGATTACTCGGGGAGATATCCAGACCCTAAAGAACTATCACTGGCTTAATGACGAGGTCAGTTGTCTTTTTTCCCTCAACTGTCATTAGGTTTAACTATTTACTGTCCATAACCAAAGTGAGGTATCACATTGGCAACGGGGCTGTAGTTCGCATCTTGCTGCCGGGCGGCTCTGAACCACGAGTGGGACAGTCACGTGTGTACTGCTGGTGGTTCAAGCTGGCAGAAGTTGTCACACCCGTTTATAAGAGGTTGGTAAAATAAGTGAATTTAAAAAAAAAAAAACAACAACATACTGAACCTTGAAAAGGTACTGTTTGCTACACCATTTCTGTCTTTTGGATCTATATTTATCCATCATTTTATTTATTAGCCTTCGATGGCATTTCCAGAAACCCTGGGTATACCTGATAAATGGAAGGTATTTTATTTGAATGATGTCTTTGTCCGTTCCTGCTGCTGTAATAAAATACCACAGACAAGGCAGATGATTCATGAAGAATAGAAATGTATCATTCACTGTGCCATGGGAGGGCACTGGGGTCCTCATGGGTGGCAGAGAACAGCCGGGACCAGGGCTCTGTCCCACCCGGAGGGGGCCCTTCAGGCCTGGTCACTCCCCACAGCCCCTACACCTCCGGAGGGACACACATGGCCAAGCACAGTAAGTGTAAGCTGCAGAAGGCCGAAGCTGCCCACCCGTTACCGTGTCTCCTTACGTATTTAGCGAGAGCTCATTCCTCATAGTTCTTCATTGTTCTCCGCACTTTGCTAGTGGGTTCTTGCCCGGCTGCGGTCTCTGCAGCGTTTCCTTCCTTTGCCTTTCCTGCCCCTCCCCCAGTGCCGTGACCTGAAAGCACCTCGTTTTAAAAGTAGAATATTTTGTTGTAAACACAACATATTTAAAACACCTTATAAACACATTTATTACAGGAGGTTTGGAAAATGCAGGAAAGGTAACTAATTGTTTAAAAGTACTGTCCATATTTTGGTGTGTCCCCTTCCAGCTAGTGCGGTTAGTAGAGATGTAACTTCTCTGTGGGGAGGCTCACTTGGAGTCAGTCTTCCTGCCTACCTTCTGTGTGATACAGCTGCATGGACCATTTCATTGTTGCAGACTTCTTGGCTCTTGGAAGCTTCGCTCCTTTTTTTCTTTTTTCTGGTGATTGTGCTGGCGGTTCAATCCGGGGGCCCCCTGAGCTATACCCCAGCCCTGCATTCTCTTTCTCTCACCCATTTTGCACTGATCCATTTTTTCTGTCGTCTTCCATATCTGGTCCTTTTATTCCCATTTTTAATTCCTCTCATCCCTACACATCTCACTTTTACTTCATACTAACTCAAGCAAAATTTAATTCTGATGATCTATTTGCCATGTTCCAACTTTTACTCTCCTGGTATTCTACAGGTCATTAATTTTTACATGAATCTTCTAGTGGAAAGAAATAAAAAGCAAGGCTACCCAGCCCTTCACGCATTCAGTACTTTCTTCTACCCTAAATTAAAGTCTGGGGGTTACCAAGCCGTGAAAAGATGGACCAAAGGAGTGAATCTCTTTGAGCAAGAGCTTATCCTGGTGCCCATCCATCGGAAGGTGCACTGGAGCCTGGTGGTGAGTGGAAAGCAGTGCTGGGGGCGCAGACTGTCGGAGGTGAGGCCTGCTCTGGTCTGCCCAGTGCAGGGCCCTGCAAGGCCCAGGGTTAGGTGACAGCGCACTCTGCGGAGCACTCTCAGTGCTCAAGGCCGCAGGACTTCCGGAGCCAGAAGACCTGGCCTCTGCTTGAACAGCTTTTGTTTATAGCAAAATAATTTTTTTCCTGATTTTTGTTGTTGTTGTTGTTGTTGGTTTTTTTTTTTTTAGTTTGTTCATAAGATGGTATATGTTTGTTATAGAAAAATGAAGGCAGGGGCCAGGGATTTGGCTCAGTGGTTCTGCTGCCTGCCTGGCAAGTACAAGGGCCCGAGTTCAATCCCCAGTACCATATTAAAAAAGAAAGAAAGAAAGATGAAGATAAAAAGAAAAAGCAGAAATTTCCCACTGCACTGAGAGGACCACTAATGTTTTGGTGAAAAATTCCCAGGCTTCATCTAGGAATAGAAATATATTAAACTCACAGTCTATGACTTTTTGTAACTTTTTCTTAAACCTAATAATGTGTCTACATCCATTTATGTTAGGTTCTTTAAAACATGCTTTTCTTTTTGGAAGTAAAACTGTTGCTTCTGTTAATACTTAAGATCTTTCTGTTTCTAGATGTTGTATTTTCCTATTACAGGTGATGGACCTAAGAAAAAAGTGTCTTAAATATCTGGATTCTATGGGACAGAAAGGCCACAGGATCTGTGAGATTCTCCTGTAAGTTCAGGCGGGGAGGCGTACTCTGTGACGTGGCCGAGGAGACCCTGGGCCGCAGTCTCACTGCACGGCGGGCTCAGGACTTTTTGGGAACACATCTTTTTGTCTAAAAATAACCTAATATATGATCTCAGCTGAGGTCTTACTAGGATCATCATTGAAAGCAAGTTTGCATGTGTGTGTGTCACTGGCGATTGAATGAAGAGTCTGCACTGAGCTACATCCCTAGGCCTTTCTCAGCTTTTACAGTTTGGAACAGCATCTTACAAAATCACCTGTTGCCCGGATTGGGCTTGAACTGTTGATTCTCCTGTCTCAGCCTCCCAGAGCTCTGGGATTACAGGCGTGTACCACTGTGCCCCGAGAAGTATATCTTGATCAGAATCCTATGATTTGAATTAGGTTTCTTTGGCACTGACATTAAAGTAATACCTCGGTTCATGAATGCTTCTGTTTGTGAACAGAAGTGTTGAGTAAAACTTTGTCGCTGTTTGTGAATTTCACATCTGGTGATAAACGCTACCATGGCCATCGTCTCCAGAACTGGGAATGACTTAAGTTTGTGAACCAAGGCACCTCTGTATTCCGATGTTCTAATAAACGTTAGTCGGGGAGTGTTAGCCCTATAAATTCTGAAGCTGACTCATGTCTGCTTTCTACTGATAGTTGGGTTTATCACATTGAACTCAGGTAATGTTTTTATTTGGTAATACTGGGGGTTACATCCCCAGGCCTTTTCAGGATTGTTTTGTTTTGTTTTGTTTTTTGTTTTGTGAGACAGTCTCGCCTTCAGTTCAGGCTGGCCTTGAGCTATATAGCCCAGGGTGGCCTTACACTTGCAGTGATTGTCTTGCCTCATCCTCGCGAGTGTGGGGATTATAGGTGTGTGCCACTGCGCCTGGCCCTTTTTAATTTTGAGTTAGGGTTCTGCTAAGGCCAGCCTCAAATTTGTGATCCTTCTGTCTCAGTCTCCCAAGTAGCTGGGATTATAGCCACATACCATGGTGCCCACTCCAGAGGGCAGTGTGTGAATGAAGGTGTGGGATTTGTGGGCAGCTCCTGCAGGTCCAGTAGCTCCCCGTATCCAGCAGGTGTATGTTCCAAGAGGATTCTGCAACCGCAGACCCCATCGAGCCCTGTGTGTGCTGTTTATTCCCTGTACTGCAAAGCATGGAAATACCTGAGATTTTTACCCCCAGAGAACCAGCCTTCACCCCCTTGGCAGTGCTGTGGCCTCTAGTGAGAGTCTACATGCTGGTGTGTGTCGTCGGTCCCTTCACTGCAGCCAAAGACCTGACACCCACAGCTGGGGAGGGGAGGACAGGTGTATTCTAGCTCACAGTTGCAGAGGTCTCGGTCCATGGTTGGCTGGCTCCCAGGCAGAGGCAGCTTGGCAGGGGAAGGCTGCTCATCTGATCTCAGGGTAGCCAGAAAGCTGGGAGAGGCAGGGGAAGAGGTAAGAGAAGGAGGGGCTGGCAACAAGAACAGACTTCTCCAGGTTACTCCCTGGGTCTCGCTTCCTCCACCAGCCCCGCCCCAGGCACTCTGCTCATCTATTTATTTGTTTGTTTGTTTGTTTTTTGTTTATTGGTACCAGGAATCGAACTCTGGTTCTTGTGCTTGTGAGGCAGGCGCCAGAACCACTGAGCTAAATTCCGAGCCCTCCTCTCCTCAGTTGATGAGGTTAAAACCCCATGATCCACTCACTTTCCAAGAGTCCCGCATCTGAACACATGAGCTTTTCAGGCACATTTTAGATCAAATTAACACAAGTTTTGCACAGGCTTAACTTATATTCGGTTAGGATGAGAACTAGATGTATGAGTACTAAATTTCATAACCTGAAGATGTGGGTAAAAATCACTTAGTGCTTAAAAAAAATGCATAAATTCTGTGCAACTGCAATGCTGTTATCACACTTAAGAAAGTAACAATATATAATATGTAATATATGGTCCATGTTCTGATTTTTTGTTATCTTTCATAGCTTTTTTCCCAAGTCCAGGAATCAGTCAAGTTCAGAAATGTGTTTGCCAGGCATGGTGCCCCACTGTAATCTCAGAACTCAGGGAGGCTGAGTCAGGAGGGTTGCAAAAGTTTAGTTCCAGCCTGGGCAACTTAGCAAATTAGTGAGAACCTGTCTCATAATTAAAAAGGACTAGGAGAGTAGCTGAGTGCAGAGAAAAGAAAAAGAAAAAAAAATGTTTATTTATTGCCTTTTATTTTAGAATAGATTTCTTACCTTTTTTCATGCCCAGCACCTTTTTTTCCAGAGTCCAGGCCACATATCTTGTTTCATATCTGTTTTGAAGTGGGGGAAAAAAACTGTAAAGTGAACTACTTTTGTTTGTTTGTTTTTTGGTTTTTTAAGACAGGGTCTCACTATGTAGTTGAGTCTGACCTGGAACTCACTAAGTAGCCCAGGCTGGTCTCGAACTCACAGCGATCCTTCTGCCTCAGCCTCCCAAGTGCTGGGATTACAGGCATGCGCCACCATGCCCGGCTCAAGTGAACTACTTGTGAACTGAATAAAATGTATGGGTTTTTTTTTTTTGTTTTTTGTTTTGTTTTTTTTTTTGCAGTACTGGGGATTGACCTCAGGATCTTGTGCTTGTGAGGCAGGCGTGGCACCACTAAACTAAATCCCCAGCCCTAAAATGCATGCTCTTAAGTTGTATGTGTGGTAGTAGAAATCTAGAAGAAAAACACAGCAAGTTGGTAATGGTGATTACTTACACAGTGGTTATTGTAGGGGTCTTTTCTTTTGGGTTTCTGTTTGTTTTGTTTTTCTGTGTGGTTTGGGGATTGAACCCAAGGACATTGCCGCAGAGCTACAGCCCCAGGCCATTTTATTTTGGGACTGAGTTTTGCAAAGTTGACCAGGTTGGGCTCAAACATACAATCCTGCCTCTGCCTCCAAAGAATTACAGGCCTGTGCCACCCTCCTTGGCTTATAGGGATATTTGTCTCTTTACCTCACTGTATATGTTTTAATTATTTAAGATAAGCATGTAAAGTTTTTGTTAGTAGAAAAAGGAACCCAAAATTTAAAAACCGAAAAGCAGTCACAGTTTTGAAAGCCTGGTGGGTGTAGTTTTTAGAATGGCGTTATCTGTTAACCGTCAGAGTCTTTTGTAATCACAGTGCTTAGTCTCATGGGTATGTCCTTTGTTGTTTTCTTTAGTCAGTATTTACAGGACGAAAGCAAGACCAAAAGAAACATTGATCTGAATCTGTTAGAGTGGACACGCTACAGCATGAAGCCGCACGTAAGTGATGACCTTGTGTATTTGCCGAACTTGGTTAACGTTGTATTATTCAGACTTGACTTCTTCCCTCGCCTCAAGTCTATGTGGTTTGTACTTTTGTGGCGCTGGGGATTGAACTCAGGACCTCCTGCATGCTAAGCACACACTGTCACTGAACTAAATCCCCTGCCCTAACGTACAGCTCTCAGAACCACTTACTTGTAAACCTCCAGCTACTACTTCAGCCGAGATGGTTCCTTAGCCTTTGTCTTCTTGCTGCAAATGTAAATGTTCATTACACTGTTTCGGGAAAACCCAGTCCCAGAATATGAGAATCAGTCCCAAAGAGCAGAGACGGTGTCAGGCAGGCCCAGTGTCACAGTCTCAGCGGGTCCTCACCATTTGGGTAGAAGGAGGGGGCTTAGAAAGCAGTCAGGACAAAAGTCATATCATCCAGGCCATAATGGGGATGGTTCATCTCAAGCTAATGGCACAGGCGAAGGTTTCAGGTACATTCTGCTGTCGCTGTGCCTGGATCTGGTCAGATAAGTGCCACACACCACTCGATGGTTTTGTCCATTTCTGGGGTGGGGAGCACTGACCAGGTTGCTCTGGGCAGCCGTAGTGGTTATGGCTCAGGATGGCCACACCACGTCAAGCTTGGTGCCACCATGTCTCTCAGAATTGGGAAACAGAACATTTAAGTCCACTTGTCTTCTCGGTGGTTGCAAGTTCTTGTCCAAAATTTACTTGGGGATTTGTATATTTAGGTCGTAGGGCCCCATGGCATGGTTATCAGGAGTCAAGCAAGCTGCTTATGAATGTTCTTTGTATCTTACAAGACTTGAGTCTCAGTTCATAGTTGGAAAGTGATCCAGCCTTGAGTTGTGCCTGCCTCCCTTTGAAGTAAGCCGCATGAACTCAATCTAGTCCTGACCTCCACAGGGTGCTCAGCTCTCTTCATCCAAAAGCATTTTAATCTCCACAGCGAATCATTGAAGATTAAGCCTTGACAATTCCTGAGGAAAAAGCAAATGTAATAGTCTGTTACAGAGCCAGGTGTGGTGCTGCTGCCTGTACCAGCACCATGAGAGCATTCCCAACTCGACTACAAAGGGACACCTTGTCTCAAACGCGGCCCCCCCTCAAGAAAGTCTGCTAGGATGAACACCGTGTTCTGGTATAGGAAGTGTGATTTCTCTTCTTGTGGATTGGAACCCATCATTCTGTCTACAAGGCCTCCTGCATATGTGTTATGCATGTTCGGCAGCTTTTTTGAATACACACTGAGCTATTGTCTCACTGTGTCTCCCAGAGGCGGAGCCAGCCCTGCGATCCTCTCTCTCCCACACCTGACGCGTGGCTGCCACTGTGTGATTGGGCAGCCCAGGAATCTGCCTCGGACATGCCGCCCCGAGGAAGCTCGTCAGTGACAAAGCTGATCTGAGGCTTCTCTCTGGCTCTTGAGACTGTTGGGGCCAAAGCCAAGGCCTTCAGTCTGGGCCTGGCGTGGGGCAGCAACCCCTGCAGTATTGAAGGAGGTTCAGGGTGTTTTAGACTGACCCGCGCTTAACCTTCTCAAAGTTTGTAACTAGTGATGCAGTTCTGTCTGCTCTTCCTGTTAATACACCTTCTGGTTCAACTTCTGCCTTTTGGTTTTTTGCAATGCTAGGGATGGAACATAGGGCCTCACACATGCTGGGCCAGAGCTATTTTCCAGCCCTCTCTGGGTTTCTCTGAGAGAGTGTGGACAGATGGACCCACTTTACTTTTCTCTTTTCTATGGGGCCCTGTACTCCATGTCACAGGCAGAGTTTTACACCACACCAAGTAAAGCTAACTATATTTGTGTGTGCATTTTATGCAATACCAGATTGAACATTTACCTGTTATTTTTTTCCACAGTGATATTTAGAAATGTGTGAGGAATTTATATAGTATGATATTTTACTTCTTCTGTTTTTGTAATTTTAGGAGATTCCTCAACAGCTAAATGGAAGTGACTGTGGAATGTTTACTTGTAAATATGCGGACTATATTGCTAGGGACAAACCTATCACATTTACGCAGGTGAGTGCGGGCCACCTCGTCCCCTCGCTTCTGTATGGGACAACACGTTGCCCGTGCCTGGTGCATGAGGCCCCTCTCGCAGTAGCTGCTCTCAATCCCATGGGCCCCTGCGGCGAGCCTTGGGTGGATCCCTGCTCTCGCTGGCTTCCGCACTCAGGCGCCTCCTGGTCTTGTGTGACCGGGAGGGTGCGGTGCGTCTCGGTGCCGGTCCGTGTCTAGTACTTGGGAGCATGTGAGAGTTTGTGGCCGTGAGGGAGAAGCCTGAGTCTTCAGACTGTACTGGAAATCCCACTTTTCCTCTCTGTTCTGCTTAGTTTGGGTTCTCTGTGGTTCTTTGAGTGAAGCCCAGATGTGTTGGGAACTCTTGAGAAGTTCTGTTTCCAACAGTGGATTTGCAACCTTTTTACAACCGTGGGCAGCCCACGCTAAAAGTGTGCCACATCATCAGGCCTCGATTGGAGCCGCTGTTTCCCAGACACACTGTATGCATTGAGTAGTAGGATTCATAAGCCCGATCTGAGTGTTGGTACAACATCAGTAACCAGGAGCATGCCCTGAATTCATGTAATTCTAGTCTAAAATAAAGGCACTCCTTACTGATTCGTCCCAGCAGTTTTACTAAGAAAAAGTGCAGATGTTTTGAACTATGTAACAATCATGTGTTAAGACTTCCACACATACCAGGAACTCCCTAGCAGGCTGCAGGGAAGTGCATAGTCCATGCCCTCATGAGGATACGGAGTGAATACCTTGGTGCGAACCGACGTCCTCGGAGGGAGTGGGTGTCCTGTTGTGTCTTTCTGCTTTGGAAATTGGCCTGTGCAGTGATTAACGGTCACAGCAATAACATGTTTTGCAAAACATTTCATTCCTTAATGTTGCTCAATTTCAAGGAGTCCATTGCTCTCTGAGCCCAGGGACGTGAGACTTTAGAGAAGCTGTGTTTAGGGCAGAATCGGCAATATTTCTTAGAACAGAAAGAAATGTGTGGGTGTTTTTCTGAATGGTCATTTTTTCGATATGAAAGCAGATTATACTCATTTTAGATTGTTCTTAAAGTACACGCAAATAGAGAAGTTGCCTATTGTGCCACCACTTGGACGTTTCCGTTTTTGCTAATGCTCCCACTCCGAAATTGTCACACCACCGTGTAAGGTTCTGTCCTGCTCCGCTTTCCTAAGCGTGTGCAGCGCTCGGTACGTAGGGTAGAGTTCGGAGTGTTAGCTTTACAGGCAGCGGTGTCACGGCTGACCTAAAGGTCTGGGCACTGCGCTTCGTTCACGTGATGAAGTGCAGAGGTTGCACTGCAGGCACAGCAGAGTGTGATGTGTGTTGTTCTTCGCAGCACCAGATGCCTCTGTTCCGGAAGAAGATGGTGTGGGAAATCCTGCATCAGCAGCTGCTTTGAGAATGTTGCCCGCTCCCTCCGGCCACTGGCGGTTTCTTCCCAGCGGTCTCCACATACCTCATGCATCTTGGGTTACCAAGTCCCTGCGCCGTTCTGTTCTCCCACAGGTACTGAGCTGTCACCGTGCATGGAGGCCTCTTGGGATGCAGAGGGGCTGCTTGCGACCCTGACTGTAAGGCTGTGCCTGCTTGGAGCCCTGGACTGTTCAGCCCACACACGAACAAACGCTAATCAATGTTTTCTTGTTTTAAAGAGTCATTTCCCTGTGAATGTGGGAAATGCAGGATTTATGCTATGAATTGTTTTTTCCGTGTGTTTGTTCACGTGTATTCATTCGCTCACTCGTTTGCAAATGTTGGGCAGTGGCCATTTTCCACTGCCTGTGACAGTTAACTCTAAATGATGTGCTTGAACTATTTATTTCTGAGAGGAATGTCGATCAAAGTGCTGCTCCCTGCTGAAGATCAGGAGGGACAGCTGCAGGGCGGGACGGCAGCAGGCAGAGCTGACGCGGAGTGGTAACCACCACCCCGGAGTTAGCCTGTCCTCTGTTTGAGGCAGAAACCCTTTGGCAGGGCGTGGTCCACAACAAGTCTGATGGCTGCGTGGCTCCGTGCTGTGCGAAGCGGCTGTAGCCACGGAGCTCTGGCTCTCCGCGGTCTTCAGAATTGTGTTGTGGTCAGCAGGTGACCCGGCTCACTCTTAAAACTGGATTCCAAGTAACCGTAAACCCTAAATCTTCACTTTGTCCCAGATCTGGTTGAGTATAAACCTCGGAATCGTAAGGGCTGGCCTGAGCTGTTTATTTCAAAAGATACTATTTCAATTTAAAGCTATTTTTCCTCACAGATTTTTTTTTCTATATATTAAGCTAAAATTAAGTTTTGTATTCATTACGATTCCCACCCTTCCCCCACCCCTGGTGCCCCCCACCAAAGTCTGTGGAAGATTTAGTACTTGGCTCTGAGGTCACCAATTATAATAGTCTATTTTGCATATGAAAGTTTGTATTTAACTTTTTGTTCATTGAAAACCTTAGAGATGTGGTTATGCTTTTTACTTTCAGAGAGGTTAGAGTTGGTCAGAACTATTTTGCAAGGTCTAGTGCCTAGTGTTGCTTTTATGACGTAATAAAGGCCGTCTGGCAGAACCCAAGCCCGGCTGGTGCTTTCTTGCCCTCCCCCTGCTGCCTTCCGCCCCTTCCCCGTCCTCCTCAGGGAGGCAGAGCGGAAGTCGGGGTGTCGCCTGTGACTGTATCCACCCTGTGGGCTGGGCCCCTTCGGCCGGTTTGCTCCAAGCCTTGCTGAGGCTTGGCCAGGAACTGGGCCTGCGATGGGTGGGACCAGTGGTGCCTACGCCTGGCCAGACCCAAGACACTCAGGCCACGACGTGGGCTGAGTCCTTTCCCGTGGCTGCGTCCTCTCCCCAGGACTCCGAGCCGGACCCAAGGCTGCCAGAGCAGGCAGCAGCCCAGCCCCGTAGCCCCCAGGTTTGCTGCCCCTGTGCTGAAGCGTGCATCCCAGGTGCTCCACCGTGACCTGGGCATTAGGGCCTCGGCTGAGGCCTGCTTGGTGTCGACCAAGTCCTGTCGCGGTGGTGGTTCATGCTCTGCCACACGGATGGTGCCGGGCTGAGGCAGCGTTTGAGGGGCTTCGGCTTTCGTGGGCTCATCACAGCCTCGCTCAGTCTTCCAGGACACAAGAAATTGTTAAGAGCAGAACATTGAGTTGGAGCAGCGTCTGCTTGGCCCTCAGCTTCTGACTTCAAGGTGAGACACCATCAGCATGGCCCTCAACACTGACGTCCCCTTTGGTGCACAGAAGCATGCGGGTGTTAGATTCTTTTGTTTTCCTGAGAAAGGTCTCACTAGTCCAGGCCAACTGTGAACTCACTGTGTAGCACAGCTTGGCCTCAAATAGCAATTCTCCTGCCTCAGCCTCCTGAGAGTGTTGGGATTACTAGCCTGTACCACTATGCCTGGCAGTAATAGAATTTTTATATTTCAACAGTTTATGAAAAAAGTGGTCTGGTGATTTAAAAAAGCAACTATTGACTGTATTAGTAGAAAATTAGCAACCTTAAATCCAGTCGTTTTTAAAAATTGTAGTAGTTTTTTAGGGGCCTGAAAAAGGTGCCACAAACCATTACTCTTTTTTAGTAGGTGGTCTCTGTTCTTAAAAATGGACTTAAAAAAAAAATACACTGTTGGTGAGCATCTTTCTCAGGCTTAACTTTGTGCCAGAGCTGGGTTTGGGATGGAAGAGACAATTGGGACATCTGGAAGATGTTCTTGGGAGCCCTGAATTCTACTTCAGTTACAGAAGGCCGGACCTCTGAGCTGTTCCCTCTGGGGTCCTGAGCACCCTGGGGTGGCTGCAGCTGAGCCGGGCTGCATGCTGGACAGGGTGGACATTTCCTTGGCAACGCAGTAAACATCCAGTACAAATAAGCAAGCGATGCACAGAAAGTGAAGCCCAGGATAACCTTAGTCCTGCAGTACTGCTCCACTGCTTTATCGGCTTCTCTGCACTACCCGGAGCCTACTCTCCTTACACAGTTTCTTTCGCCAAGAAGCTGTTCTTCAGATAAACTGGTGGCACTTAGCTCGCTGGAAGTTGCAGTCCTAGCCAGCTGTGTTGCTTTGGTTTTTAAACTTTAATTTACTTAGATGCAAGGCTGGATTTGGGGTATAGTGGAATAGGAGTTGATTTTATCAAACTCATTTCTTTAGTGGCTTTAAATGTTTATTGCAACTCAGCAATGAATATATTTGGTATTGTGATTATGCACACAACTATTGTGTGATTATATATGCACACGAATTTTAGAGAACACAACTTACTGTAAGTCTGATAGTTTCAGTTCCCTTTTTTGGTTGTGGCCATGTGATGGTTAGCCTCGACTGTCCACCTGACTGGATTGGGAAGCAGTTAGGAAATGAGTAGTTACACTTCTAGACGTGTCTGTGGGAATGTTTCCCGTGTGGGACAGCGAGGGATGGGGAGACCTGCCCTGGATGTGGGCAGCACAGAGTAGGATGTGGGCTGGGGGAAACGAAAGCAGGGAGCGGAAGCCTGAGTTCTACCTCACTCTGCTTGCTGGCAGCCATGAGGTGAGCGCTGTCCTCCACCACACCCTCCCACCGAGGTGCTCCTACCTTGGAGCCAGCTGACTGGACTGAACCCCTGAAACCCTGAGCCAAATAGACCTTTCCTCCTTTTAGTTGTCATTGTCAGGTACTTTTTTTTTCTCAGCAAGACACAAACCACGAATTTGATTTCTGTGCTCACTGATGAATAGATATGCAGGAATTTTGGTTTGCTTTGCTTTGGTTTTTGTTTGCAGTGCTGGGGTAGAGCCCAGAGCCTTGTATTCTCCCACTGAGCTGCACCCCAGCCCTGAGAATGCAGCTTCAAAAGCACTGCTCCAAGGGACCTAAGAGCAAAATGCAAACTAATTTTAAAACTGTAAAACTTGGGCATGGTGGTACACATGGGTAGTCCCAGCACTCTGGGAAGCTGAGGCAAGAGGGTTGCAGGTTCAAGCCTAATCTGGGCAATTTAGCAAAACCCTGTCTCAAAGTTAAATTATATACATAAAAAGGGCTAGGTATTCAGTTACCCTGTTTAGTTCCCATACCAAAGAGCCTACAAAGTTTGAGAGGACCCAAGGAGAGGGCTGTGAGGCTGTTTAAGAGGAATTAACACTTGCCAAAATGTAAGTAGAAGTTCTGTTGCTTATACATGAGGTGGAAAACGGCTCTGTGGCTCGATGTGTGTACTGTGTCCTCCCCGATGAGTTATGTCTTAGTCTGGCATTTCTCAAGGAGACACCCGTGGGAGTGTTCGTGGGGAAGCAGTGGCTGGGGTTCTTGGAGGCCCCACCCGGGAGTCATAAAGCCGGGTCCTGGGCACCACGCTGCCCCCGTGGTAGTGGAATTTCGGATGTGCCCCCGGGAGCAAAGGGCTTCACATGAGCGTGTGGTGCCCGCCTGGCCCCGCTGCCTGCTTTTAGGGACAGACGCGGTGCCCTGCTCTCCCTGTAGGGCGTAGAGCTCCACCCAGCCGTTTGCCTTGCGGATGTTCTCATTTCCATTGCTGAGCAGTGTCAGTGGCCCCAGCGATTACTCGGTATTACCGGGCACACTGTCCTGTGGGCCTGGCTTCTCTTCAGTCACACTCCTAGAATTCAAATCCATGGTTAAAAGTTACATAATCAACAAAAAACACCTGGTGGTTTTGGGGTTTTTTGTTTGTTTTTGAGACAGGGTCTCACTGTGTAGTGAGACTGACCTGGAACTCACTGTGTAGCCCAGGCTGGTCTTGAACTCATAGCAATCCTCCTGCCTCAGCCTCCCGAGTGCTGGGATTACAGGTGTGCACCACCACGCCCACCTCCTGGTGGTATTTTTTACTTTTTAATTTTCCGCACAGGATTTGTGTCCTGATGGAATTTAAGTTTATAATAACTTTGTGTGTAGGCCTTCGGTTCATTCTGAGGGATTTACTTTCTCATTTAGTGGATAATTTTACCCTTTTTTTCAACTATTTCACAAAAGACTCTTTGTAATGGGAATTAAGATGAACGGTAAAGTAGAGGAAATAGCAAAATGAACCTTTCTGTAGTCAGCTCCACTTCCAGCAGTTAAAATGTGGCTAATCTTGGCTCTCTTTTTCTTTTTCTTTCTTTTTTTTTTTTTTCACGTGGCACAGTCAGCTCCGAAATATTTTAAAGCAAATCCCTGATGTCAGGCATGTTATTGTACCAAAATGCTTCGGAGTATCTCCCTGACTAGCAACTTAAAGTCATGTCACATCTAGCTATAAGAATTTACTAAGATGTCCAGTTCATATCATCTGATGATTAAAATAATTATAGCTGGGTGTGGTGGCACATGCCTGCAATCCAGCTACTTGGGAGGCTGAGGCAAGATCAACTTTCAGGCCAGCCTGAGCTACTTAGTGAGACTGCCTCAAAATAAAGTCTTCACAAAGTAGAAGTGGAGGTCAGTGGTGAAGGACTTGCCTCGCTTGTGCAAAGGTTCCATTCCCAGCACTGACCACCCCCAAGCTTTTTAATTTATGGAATCGGGATATGTTGTGGGCTGAATGGTGGCCACCCAAAAAGCCAAGTCCACAACTTAGCCCCTAGGACCTGTATTACATGGCAAAGAATGAATAGAAGTATTGGAATGACAAAAGAGTGATTGGCTTCAGGATCTTGAGAAAAGCATTGATCTTGGATCATGTGTGCAGGCTCTATGCACAATCGCACGTCTTACATGAGAAAGATGTTCCTGTTGTTGAGGTGCTAGGGATCAAACTCAGGGCCTTCCACACACTGGAACCAGGGCTCTGCCGCCAAGCTACTGCCTGGCTGGGCTCCGGGAACTGCTGGGTGACGGAGGAGTGATTTCAGAATTTTGAGAGAATGCAGTTCAATTGGATTAGGCTGTCAAGTTTGTAGCAATTTGCAAAAGTAACCTCAGAAAGTTAATACAGGATCCAAATAAATCTACATGTTGCTGAGTTGGGGATTTAGCTTGCCTTGCAAGTGCAAGGACCTGAGTTCAATTCCCGGTACCAAAAAAAAACCAAAAAAATCTACATGTTGCCTTTGAGTTTATTTCTGTCTCTCTCTACATCTCTGTCTGTGCCTGTGTCTCTGTACTGGGGATTGAGCCACGAGCCCTGAACTCCCTCCCCAGCTCTATAATTTTAAAACGGTCTTGTTCTTACCCAGTGTGACTCAGAATTTTCGATCTTCCTGACTTAGCCTCCTGAGTAGCTGGGATTACAGGTATGCATAACTCACTTGGCTGCTTTGTTTCTTTAATATCTTTTTTTACAGTAAGCATTTCCCTATTTTCTTTCTTATGTACATGTTGCTTCATTTGTTTGTGCAGTGAGGGGGATTGAATCCAGGACCTTTCCACTACTGAGGCACTGTTTCCTATGGGATGCAATGTCTTCCAGATCTGACGGCTTTGATGCTGTGGGATCCTCTGTCCCTGTGTCCCCCAGAACCGGTGGATTCCCCTCTCCCGCTGCGACCCGTGTGCCAGCTGATGGTGCCCTTGGAACCCGTGAGGTCCCGGTTCTTCCTTTTTATTTCATTATGAAGCTGTGGTCATTTTCTTGGGGGGTGGGTACTGGGGATCAGACTCAGGACCTTGCACTATGAGGCAGGTGCAGTACCACTGAGCTAAATCCCCTGCCTAATTTTTTTAAGATAAGATAAAAAGCTACTTTGAAATTATAAACCTGCCAAAAAGTGTGCTTCTTGTCACCTAGTTCTGTTCAAGAAGTAAAGTATGTTTAACATTTGTGACCTCACCAATTTGGCTGGCACATCAGTGTTGGGAGCAGATAGCAACTATGTATGGTAGAGTGACATTTAAAAATGTAAATGAAATAACACAGGAGGCTGAGGCAGGACAGATGCCTGTGAGTTCAAGGCCTTGTAAGAGTTATGCAAATAAAAGCAGTCTTCAAGCTGGAGTTTCCTTTGACCATTTCGTAGTTTTGAGTATTGTAGGTTTGTTTTTTTGTTTTGTTTTTGAGACAGGGTCTCACTATGTAGTTGAGATTGACCTGGAACTCACTGTGTAGCCCAGGCTGGTCTTGAACTCAGCAATCCTGCCTCAGCCTCCTGAGTGCTGGGATCACAGGCATGCACCACCATGTCTGGCTTGTTCTGAATGTTGGACACACTATAGCAACCAATTTAATTAATGACTCAATTGCAAAACTGTAATTTGGTCCCTAAAGAAGAAATGTCAGAGTATTCGTTTCAAAATACCAATACCAGTGTAACTACTAACAAGGCTCCTAAATGCAATTTGCAACTTATTTGCAGTGAGTTTAAAGTTTTTAGACTCCAATCTGCTGGAGATTCACAGTGAGAATACTATTTTAATTTTTCCTGAGGACACTGTAGTCGGATTCCTTTGTTTACAAGTTTCAGGATTTGGTCCAGGAGTAAAATAAGGTAGGTAATGTCAGCACCCACTAAGCTTTTCCTTGTAGTCGTTCTTGAGCTCTTGTCTGTGTGGTAAGAAGCCCTAGCTGGTTTCAGGAGCTATGGCTGTGACAGTTCTTTCAGTGGCCCTTCTATTGTAAATGCAACTGTGACCCACATGCCTAATGCACCGCTTCCTTTTTTTCCCTTGAGACAGGGTCTCTCCATGTAGTTGAGACTGACCTGGAACTCATCACGTAGCCCAGGCTGGTCTTGAACTCACAGCGATCCTCCTGTCTCAGCCTCCCGAGGGCTGGGATTACAGGCGTGCTATAATCCTACCACAGCTCCCACTTCCTTTTTTTGGTAACACATTTTAGGTTCCTCACAGTGGGGCCAGGCCGCTGGGTTGAATCTAGCAGCATGGGTAACCTTTCCTCTACCAGGGAGACCTTATATTGTATCACCCAGGGTTCCACGGAAAAGCCTTAAATATTCACTCTTCATTCCCAGAAGACAGGCCGCCACCCTTCACCTGCAGTCTCGGCCCGCAGGGCCCTGGAGACGTAGGCTGTTTGTATAGGGCCAGCGGCCAAGGAGCAGCACACAGCCCTTCCGTTCTGAAGCCCATCGTCCTGCCAGGGACACCAGACAACAGCCTGGGCCTCACAGCAAGATGATTCTCCCGCCTCGGCCTCCCACATACTGGGACTACAGGTGTGTGCTACCAGACTGGACCTGCAGTCGTTCTTGATTTTTAGCTTCTAGTTCCTGTTTTGTGACATTGTTCCGGCACCGGTGTGGCGCCCTTGCAGAGTATGGAAAACCAGTGCAGGCCTGAGTGAGATATTAGCACAGGAAAGACCACTGTGGCTCCTGGGGCTTTGGGTAGTGGAGGCTGAGGAAGAAAACCTTCGCGGTTTTCTTTGGGCTTAATCTCCAGCTGCTACCCTTGTATTTTACTTTAGGGTCAAATCACGCGCCAAGGAGACTTTCTAGGACGTCAGGAGGCCAGGACAGGGCAAGCCTGAGCCTTTACAGGGAGGAATTCAGCCCAAGCGAAGACCCTGCTCCCCGCGTGGCGGGCAGGTGGGGGCGCTGGCGAGCACCGCTGCTGCTCCGGGAAGCGGCTGCGGTCTTTGCCCAGGCCGCCTGTCCGGCTCCCAGTGTGAGCCGCCTCCTTCTCCGCTGGGCACCAGGGCGGCCAGGCGCCAGCTCGGCACCTCCGCCTTTTTTGGCACAGGTTCACAGACAAGTGTTTTGGACGTGGGCATTTTAAGAGCTAAACTTGAAATTCTACCACGCAAATAAAGGCCCAGGGACGAAGCCTTCCGGCGGGGCCCGGGATCCATTCGAGGGGGCTGGGGACCGGGCCGTTCGCGCGCGCACACACACACACACACACACACACGTTCTCACACACGGCACGCGCGCACACATACACCCACACCCACCCCGCACAGCCACAAGAGCTCGGGAGTCCCCAGGGCCGCCACTGCTGACGCCAGGACGGGGCTGCACTCGGTAAAATAAAAAGCCGGGTACACCACGGTCATGTTAGCTGGATATATTTTTTTTTTTTCCTGAAAATTTTTCTTTTTTTTTTCTTTTTTTTCTTTGTCACAGAACACTGTTTGCAGTAGAGGAAACTGGCATTGCAGTCTGGTGGTAAAATGGCTTGTTCACAAAAACCAGTACATGTTCATCCTTTAGCGCAAAAAGCCCTAATGGTGCGTACCCTATTGGAATTCGGGACATCTCCAATATTTTCTCTCTCTGTTTTTGTCTTTTTTTTAATAAACATTTTCAAGGTTTGTCCAAAAGGTGGCCATACAGGCTCTCGGCTAGCGGAAGACAATTCAGAACAGCTGTCGCACACTTGGACTGTGTCACCTTCTCCAGGCTGGCAGTTGATTATTTTTTTTTCCAACTCATTTTTATTAAAAAAATAAAAAAATGCTCCAACTATCAGTTTTACAAAATCTCTAAGGGAAACACAAGAGCAAGGTGCTGAGGTAAAAAACACCTGAGGTAGCTTTTTTTTGTGTGTTTAAAAAAAATCTGTAAATTTTAACGCCCTGGGCCAACAACCTTGTGTAAATTGTTTTCCTTTTTTTTTTTTAAACGAAGAAATCATTTCACTGAATGTTGATGGCTTATACACCAAAATGTAAAACGACAGAATACATTCTTTATGGAATTTTTCTTGGTTGGGTTGGCTGGTTGCTTTGATGGGTTCCTGTTTTCCTCTTCCAAAATGCTAGGACAAGTACCACTGACTCTTGTTCTCTTGAGTAACCAAGTGTAAGTTGAGGCTGGTTTGTGTGTTTCGCATTTGTTCCTTCTGTGCGGTATGATAATCAGAGCACTGCTTTGCCTGGGATGCATAGGTACAGGGGATGGAGACGGATGAGGGAATTCAGGAGTGGGGATGGAGCGGGGTGGGGGGGAGAAACAGAGAGAGACAGAATTATATAGCAGTATGCAAAAAACCAGTTTAAAACCTGTGAAGCCAAAAGAATGGGTGTGAGCTAGACAGGTGAGGAGGGCCAGGCCCTCCTGGACGGTATCCCTTCTGTTGACAGACACAGGTGGTCCAGAACTGCTCCGAGTGTCCTTTGACAGGGACTCCCTCGGGGTGAATTTTGTGGGTGGCTTCCAAGTTCCTTTCTACACTATTCGACCTCCCAAAGAAAGACTTTACTCTTTAAAGTCTAGAAAAGCCTGCTTTCTGTTCAAAAAGAAAACAAAATTAATAATTGAGTAAAAATTGGAGTTAGTTGTTATTTGATATATTATTTCTAAAATATATTAATGCTGCAGGCATCCTGTGTAACCCACAGGCCACATATCTTAACATCTTTCCCCTTCTAATATGTACACACATGTACAGAGACAATTTTCCACAGAAAAGAAAAGGGGGTGAATTTTGCTTTGCTCGGAACACATTCACCTATGTTAGTTCAACTAAAAGGGATAGCGTCGTGGAGAAGGGTTCTGAGTGAGTGCATGGGGAGTGATGGCTGAAGCCTGCAGAGGCCGCGGAGGCGGGCGGACAGCGGTTCCTGGGACCCCAGCCTCCCCGTGCCCCTCCATGACCCGGGATTCTCAGCTCGAGGCCCCGGTGCCTCCACAGACTTCTCGTTCCTCAGGGTGGTCTTTGGTTTGCTCCCGATCTGCTGGCTGTGTTTGGTCAGACGGTCTGGTGTTGGGAGGGCTACATTCATCCGCGTTTGCTGGTGCCTGGGGGGCCTCACTTGCTGCGCTGTGAGGCAACTCCCTGAGGGTACTTCTGCTCCTGCTGCTTCACCTGCTGCACGATCTCCCTGATCTTGCGCTGTGCAGTCTGCAGCAAGAGAGGGCGGGCGGGATGGGACACACGTGTCACTCACCCGACTGGGTCCTTTTCTGCGTAGCAGTGAGGTCCCTTCCTCCCCACTCGGCCACTGGTCAGAAGGCACCTTCTGACCAAACGCTAGCCGCTCCTGGAGGACAAACAGGGCGGGGTGCAGCAGAGGGAGCAGGGACGGAGTCCTGCAGGGGTCACACAGCTCAGGGTCCCCACTGTGGCCCCCACCTCCCGGACAGGGCAGGACCCTGCCCCACGCTGCAGGGAGAAGGGCTGTGCACATGGCAGGCAAGGCCTACGCTTGTGGGCCACAGGCCATGTGGGGACCCCTGAGGCGGTGACCAGGAGAGAGCAAAATGGGGAACTAGGGTCCCCAGTGAGGCATGCTGAACTTGTCACCGTGAGGCCTTGGCACCATGCGGTGTCACCTCTGCGCTGCCCTGGGCTCTCCCAGTACAGCGGTGGACAGCAGCACAGAGAAGGGATGGGACAGCGCCCTGCAGGAGGAAGGAGGGCTCTGCTGTGCGCGTCGGGGGGCCGGAGGCCGCCGACAGCTCAGGGGAGAAGTGGAAAGAGACTGGCAGGAAAGGAGTGGGTCTCGCGGCCGGTACCTGGCTAGCGAAGAAATGCCCGATGATTCTGACGATCACTTCCTCATTCTCGTCGGGCGTTTGGTCTCGAGGCACGATGACTTCGGCGCTGGTCAGGTTCTGCAGCTCGTTCACCTGCAATGGCGAGGAGGCCGTGGGCGGGCTGCGTCCTGCCTCCAGGGCCATGGAGGGGCTCAGGAGGGAGGCAGACCGCGCCTCTCCTGCACCTGACCCTGGTTCCGCCCCGCCCATCCCGCCGGGTGCTTCTCCTGTCCCCCTCGCCCACCCAGCCCAGGGCGCCACACCGGTGTCCCATCCCACCATCTCCCCACCCGCCTCCTCGTCCTCGCCTCGGGCCCTGGCCTGGCACCGGGCTCACGGCAGAGTTCGGCGAGCGCAGAGGGGAGCTGACGCCATCTGGGGCACCAGAAGTTCAGGGTCTGGCTCTGGGATGACCCAGCCGGCCTCGGGAGGCCTGGGCTTCTCCTCCGGCCGACGACGCACTCGCTTCTGCCGCTACACACCAGCTCTGCCGGGAGCCCAGCGCACGCGGCCGTGGTCCCGAGAACTGAAGGCGACTCACTGAATCTAGATCATGGCTTTTACAACAGCAAACACGCACCCCTTCCCCGAATACCGCCCGACTCGGGTGCGAGGCCGCTCCCATGCTGCGCACAGGGCAGGGCGGTCCGCTCAGCAGGTGGGAGCAGCCCTGGAGGCCTGGGGCTGGGCCGGGCACCGGAAACCAGGCATGAAGTTCCAGGGATGCCGACTGCCTGACCTTGGCCCCTGTGGCTCAGACGCCGGGAGAGCCCGGTTCGAGTCCAAAGCCGAGACCGCGCCAAGGGGTGGAGGGCACTCGGGTAAGGCCAGGGCATTCAAGCAGGAGGTGTGGCGAGCTGGTGCCCACTTACGGTTTTGCCGCCTTTGCCAATCACCCGGCCAGCGGTAGAGGAGGGCACTCTGATATGGGCTTCCAGCTTTACCTCTTCTTTAGGGTTAAAGAAGTTTTCTTCTTTCAGTTTCCCAAAAATCCGCCCCTGGGCCTGGAGAAAACGACGCGATGGGCCCAGGGTCTCGGACGGAGGCGCCAGGTCGCCGCCCCACCAGACACGGGTGCGCGGCGAGGCCACACCCCCGCAAGTGTCCGACTGCCCGTTTGCCCAGGGACTCTGCGCTCCTCCTCTGGCCACAGCAGTGCGGCCTGGCCCGGCTGCCACAATGAGAACGGAGGCGTCCAGGGCCGGAGGTGGGATGGGAGCGCTGGGGCGGGAACCACAGAGCCCTGAGCTGGTCATCTCCTCTCACTCCTCGGGCTGACGCCATCCTGTCATGAGCACAGCCCACCTTTCGTCCATTCACGAGTGGAAGTGGGTGTTCTGGCAGCACCGGGGACTGAACCCAGGCCCCTCTCCGCTGTGCCCAGGTCTAAGTTACTAAGCTGGGTTCACATCTGCGACCATCCTGCTTCAGCCTTCAAGCGAGCCGAGGTTACAGGTCTGCACCACTATGCCCAGCGAAGGCTTGATTTCAAGTGGTTCCTTATGCATTCCCTTTATCCTTTAGGTCTAACTGAAATTAACTAAAAGGGGTACATGTTTATAAATGAATATGTGCCTCTGACTTTTAGAAAACTCTTTTGTGCTTTTGTTAGAAGAGGAGGAAAGGCAAAAAGATGAAACAGAAGCATGCATCTCACTGGAGAGCTTCCACAGCCCCGGCCCTCCCGTGCCCATGTTAATGCCCACAACACTCGGGTGAGGGATCACAGCCCTGGAGGGCGGCCGAGGGCCCTGCGACCTCTGCAGACAGCCTGCCCCTGCCTCGGAGGCAGCACTGACCTTGAACTGGGCCTCAGGTGGCCCAGTGATGATGACCATCCGCTCGCTGACGTCTGGGCCTTCGGCTGGGGCAATCTGCGGGTCACAGGAAAAAGACGGTGCTGGAACCGAGTGGGTGCTGTGCACGCTCATCTCCAGGGCCTTCACACCTGCTTTGTGCCACCCACGCTGCCTCCACCCCGTCCCCCTGGGAAGTGTGCAGGATGGAACGCGCGAGGCTCAATACCTCCTCCTCCTGTCTGAGCTCTTGTAACACAAACAGACCCAGCAAGTATTTTGTTAGAGGTTGTTTGTTGCATCTTTAAAAATGCATTATCTTATTTCAAAAAGATTAAACAACAACAAAAAAAAACCCAGCCTGGTGCACTGGTGCTCGCCTGAAATTCTAGCACTTGGGAGGCTGAGGCAGGAGGATCACTGCAAGTTTGATGGCAGCCTGGGCTACACAGTGAGTTCAAGGATAGCCTGGACTACATAGAGAGACCCTGTCTCAAAGTAAATGAACAAAAAAAAAAAAAAAAAAAAAAAATTTAAAAAAAAAAAAAAAAAAAAAAAAAAAAAAAAAAAAAATCAAGCCAGATACAGCAGTGCATACTGCTTGGCAGGCTGAGACAGGAGGATGAAGATACTGAGCCCAGGAGTCTGAATCCAGCCTGGTGACACAGCAAGAAATACAAAACAGAAACCCAAAAACAGTGAATTGTAGGAAAATTAAAGTGAATTAAAAGCTACACTCCTGGCCCAGGTGTTCTTGTTTATGCAGTGCTGAGATTGAACCCAAGACCTCTGCACTGAGCTACTTCCTCGTGTTTCTGTTTTGAGACAAACTGGGCTTGAACTTGAGATCCTCCTGCCTCAGCCTCAGAGTTTTGGGAGTACAGGTGTGCAGTACTATGCCCAGCTTCATTTCTAAGCTTCTAAGAGCAAATATAAAGAGGAAACATGGTCATTTACAGGGCTCCAAAGGAAAAACAAACCAGTAGCACAGGGAGGCCCAATTCCTGAGAAAGCTGTCGGCAGAGAACTGGGATTCCCCACCACACCGTTAAGTACACCTCTGGCCAGTGGCTGTCCCCTCGTAGCTTTGCTGTCCTGCAGCAGCATCTGAAGGTGGGCTCACAGGCGGGCCCAGTGCCCCCACTCTTAGGAGAGGAACCGAGCCAGGTCCTGCTCTGCACAGCTCTGGCCTCAGCAGCCACACACCATGTGACGTAGGGTGAATGAACTGAGGCACAGGTGACGCTCAGCTAAGCTTCTCAGGGTCTGCCCTCCCCTCGGGTGGCCTCAGCCTGGCGAAGCTCACCGGCACTGGGGGGGGGGGGAATCAGCAGTCACGGGA